TCCAATATCATGTTTCAATTTGACAATTTAATGTATTCCTATTGTAAGTGCAGCACATGTGTTTGTCAATAAATCAATAAAATTGGCTTTCTAACGCCAGACACGTCGCAGACTGAAATGCATATTTAGCGCCGGATCACAACATGTGACTCCGTGGCGCAACGGTAGCGCGTCTGACTCCAGATCAGAAGGTTGCGTGTTCAAATCACGTCGGGGTCAACTTGGTAAAAACTTTTTATTTTATTTTTAAAATTATTTCCAAAGTTTTAGACTGTTTCCAGCCGGTTTCTTAAGTTTTGCCTTAAACCTAAACCTTTGAAATGTGAACAGATATTCCATATTCTATTCGCTTTTTGATCAGAAGTCTTGCTTGAGTCTAACTTCATATAGAAATAACAATGTGTCACAATTGTTGTTAACAAATTCCAGGCAGAATAATAAATTCGATGACCTAACATACATTATGTGCAATTAAATTAAATGCTATTAAGAGATTTAGTAGAGTCTTTTAGCAATCATTCGCATAGCTAAGCAGCTGTCGCCTACGTTTAATGAAGTCAGATGCTCACGCCCGATGCGTTGCATAAGAAATCGGCTTGGGACGCATTGAGTATACGACAGCGCGCACAAATGAAGGCATCAAATGTGTTTTTGCGCTGCTTTTAATTGAAGTCGACTGCAAGGCGCGTGCCTCGTATCGGGTGACTCATCGCAGTGGCATGTCAATGGGCGGCAACGTGCCCCCAATGGTGGCATGCCACATGTTGATGGTGCTAGAGAATATGCCCTGCATGCTGGAAAACATGCAATCGATGGCGAGCTGCCTGCTAATGAGCCAAGCCCTGCAGGCAACGTGTGGCAGCATTGTGTGGCAGCATCCACGCCCTTTGACCTTGCCAGATGTCAAAGCTTTATCCCCTTTGTTGTACACTGAGCCTGAGCTGTCGCCTGTCAGCAGGAATTTGGCTTAAATTGCCAGGAAGCGCACAGTACATGGGCATGGCCAGTGGGAGTGGTAGTGGGACGAGTAGGCGTGGTTGTGGGAGTGGACGAGGGCCTCGCGCTACGCGCTCGGGTTCCGTTCAAGTGGCAATGTTGTGTTACATTTTCAATTTCGCAACAACTCAAGGCCCTGACGCAATCTAATGAAATGAAAGAATCTTGGGTGCTTGAGTGGCTCGGTGGTTGGGTCGTTGAGCGGTGGTTGCCATGTCAATTAGCGCGTGTATAGAGATTTGCTAGGGCTTAACTTGTTGCAAGTCGAGGGCTTCTACAGAATTGTCATAGATATGGATTGAAATCTGTGCAAAATAGGTGGTCTCAATAAAACCAAGGATTTGAGTAATAAGTATCGTGGGAAATATAGCTTATTATTTGACCTACATTTCAGGATAAGACAAGATTTAAAAAATACAATTTATATTTCTTTACTCTTAGACAATCGCCACATTATTACTTTCACTTACTTGAAAATAGTATTGAGATTCCCATGTATATATTCTGTATAAGTTTCATACAGACATCATGAAAATCAAGTATTGTATGATAGTTCTAGTCGAGACTGCTCGACTAGCTCCCCTGAACCCGATATAGCCGATATCCAAATTATAAAGAAAATCGAACTTCAATAAACTACCTGCAGAATAATAAATATATAGATGAATCCATATTTAAAATTTAAAAATACAATGTTGAAGTTTTTTCGGAAATTATTTTTCTTCAGCTTTAGGAACAACTTATCCACATAAAAGATTTTTATAATGTAAGCAAATTTAAATTAATAATTTATTATTTAAGTTTTCGAAATTCCTAGGGACTTCAATAAGCCAGATAAACTTGACTAGTTGATAGAAAATGTAGAAACTTGACTGGTTGATAGTAGGTGGAAAAGGCTAAGGAGAAATTTGAAATTTCAGTTATATTTGAAGATCCAGATCTGTAAAGGACTGAGACAGTAACGCTAACACTAAATTAATCTTATGAATGAGCACGTACCAACACTTTTAATTTGCTTACAACGAGCGATATGATTCTGATTTATCCACTAGCTAAAAAAAACTCTATACTATAATTCTCGCTATTTCATTTCATTTCAGTTTAGCACATAATTTTTAATAATTTTAATAATAATGATTCATATTCTTCGCATTCCATCCAGCTGTACAATATCTACATATATTAAACCGTTTTAAAAATGTTTTTTCAACTGAGATCATTGTATAATTTGCTGCCTCGCGTTGCTATTGCTTCTTCCCCTAGTTCGAGATTGCAAAAAGGATTTTAGCACTTTTGCTTTACTTTTGTTCACTGTTTTGTGGTCGGTTCTTTGTGACATTTTCCACGTCCCGCCCCCGCCCCCTGCCCATACATTTGATTGTCGGACATGTGTTGGATCCGGCTTTGACCCACTATCCAGCCCCTCGCATTGGCTATCCATTGTTTACGCGCACTCGAGTGATTCGCTCTGCCTTGTGCGAGGCGTGCGATGGACGGGGCCAGGCGCATGCTCACCAAATTCTACAATGCCTGCCAAGCGGCCTCAAACTACCTCAATGTGTTTGCGCTTGGCCCGAGCTCACTGCACGGCCTCTGACCACATAAATTAGGCGCGTTTCTTGACCTCAGGTGTCACTAGGTGTGTGACTATATTCCAATTGGAATGTAAACACGTTTCGACTGTGAGCTAATGCTCAGTAAAGAGCCCAGGGCTCGCTCACCTGTAAATGCCAGTCGCGCTGCAGGGATGACATGCTCGTCCTTTGCGGTATGTGAGGCGCCTTCGCTGGTGTATCTCTTGTTGCTCGCGTTGTTGTTGTTGTTGCTTGGGGCGTTGTTGTTGTGCACTCAAATGCATTGGTTTAGCTCGATGGGGCCACACGCGGACAGCACAAAGGAGCACAGCTACAGCTGCAGCTGCAGCAAAAGCAGAAGCAGAAGCAGGAGCAACGGCAACGGCAGCGGCAACGGCAGCGGCACGGCCAAAGCCAAGGGTTGGCCCAATTTTCGGAATGATAACGGCTAGCGCGCACACGGCGTATGCGTGATGGGCGAGGCGTGCTGGCTTATGCTTTGGCACTGGATTCCTGTACAACGACTAGTTGTTTATTTAGCTATTATTAATATCAGTGTTTCGTTTGATTCGTGTTGCATTTAAGGCTTTGCAGGAACTTGCGTCAGTTGAAGGTTTATTCCGCTTAAAGACGCATTTGCGTCATTTTGTCGTGTGCTAATGCCAGTTGCCAGTTGCTAGTTGCCAGTTGCCAGTTGCCAGTTGCTGTTCCTGTTTCCGCTGCTGCACAGACACACGAACACACACAAGCACACTAAAACACTCACACTCACACTCACACTCACACACACACACACACTGTCAGTGTCAGTGTCTCTTGGTGGACTCAACAAACTAGAGTTTCTGCTACAAATCGATAAAAAACATTTCTATTGTTGCACATCGCCCGATCGCCCGGAATGCACTCGGTAATTGAGTTACAGTGGAGTGCATCAGTCTGTTGCCAGGAATTCAAATAACATTTGGGCTGCACGCTTTTCGAACTAATCTCATTTATTGTTCCATCTGATCCTTGACTAGGTATATCTGTGACAACTTTTCTGCGATTTTCTGTTCCTTTTCTATTGGGTTCGATGTGCTCGGCTCACTGCTCGGCGTAATACTGCTTCGCCGTGTGTCCTCTCGATGCCTTTGAATCGATTCCACTCAAAGCAGGGCACGCGCCGAACTCAACTCCAACACGGACTGTCGACTGTGGACTGCGGTCTGTGGTCTGTGGCCTGTGGTGAGCTTGAGGTGAGTTACGTGGCAGTACGAGTGACGAGTGAGCGGGATAGCAGTGCCCGGGCTGCGTGCGAGTGCGACAGAGTTGATTCGTTGTATTTCCATTTTGTTTTGCTCTGCATTTTTGGCCGCTTAGGTCAGGAACTCCCGGAAAGCTGAAAGGCCAGAATGCTCGAATTGGGCATTTCGGCTTTCGCTCTGCGCTTCTCCCTGAGGAGCTTTAGGAACATGTTCAACACAAATAGCCACATTGCAATGGCTGGAAGCATGATATTATATGGGTGGCTGCCTTGGGTGCATTAGGTTTAAAACTTTACATACATATCATCATGGATATCATAATGCTCCAGACCATCTCCAGAGTATATAGGAACAGTACGTTGATGTTCATAATGGTGAGGGGCAAACAGATCATCCAGGGTATCAGAAAATTTTTTTTCATCTGCAAAGAGCATTCACATTTCGAATTACACACCATTTAGCAGAGACCGATATTACTTGCCTTACCAGCATAGCGCCAACTATTAAAAGAATGCACGAGACGACGTTCACGAGCGTAAAACTAAATAGTATTATGTTGGCATACTCCGCCTTATGGGCAATGTAAGACCTTAACTCAACATAAATGCAAAACATGCATACCGTTAGACATATGATTCCAAAAGATGTATTAATATATTTCAAATTTTTTAGGCTTGGCATATTTTTCAACGAAACCAAATGGGGCACTAAGACTACTAGCAAAAAGTGTCCCAACCTTATAAATAGAATAGTGAAATGGCAAGGGCTACCACCCATTGCTACCCACTGAAAAACTCTAACAATGTTATTTGGCTATTACAGTGAATTCATAAAAAATATGGTAATACAAACATATTGTCTATATAGAGACATAACACCCATAATAGTTCATTAGATAGATATATTTTCTGTAGAGATTATCTCTTCTTTTTTTTGTACATAAAAACAAGAACTGAACTTATGATTTACGTAAAATATATAGAAATTTAAGATTTGGTGATTTGCGTGTTTACAGTTATAGCTATGCAAATTTACTTTTCGATCGAAATGTCTGACTTATCAAAGCTGTTCCAAATGTGAGTCGAGATGATGATAAATTTTAGTATATTCAGTTTAAGTTTGTTAAATTGTAACTATGTGTAATTTCATTTCAACCTAGAAACTATAAAATCTCTTAAGACCAAAATTGATAATATGAATTTATATTTTATTTCATTTTAAGTAAAAAGGTTACATTTATATCGATATTCTATTTTTACAAGCGGTTTTGTGTTCTTATACTACCCAATTATTGTATTTACAATTTATTGTAGTTTCATTAAGTAATCAACTGTAATTCTGTTCCTGCTGTCTAGGAAGCAGCTCAATTCCTAATTTACTCAATACACACACATCAACTCAGACTTTAAACTGTACGAGCGTTGTTCAGAAGGTTTCCAGACAAGAGGAAAACATATATACATTCAGATACATATATACTTTATAACTTATTTATCTTTGCTTCTGTCTACTTTTGAAGATAAGCTAGGAAAGGCTCTAAGCCACACTCGTATTTACAGTCTTTATATTTACGAGAATTTCAAATGGGCGCCTCAGCCGGAACAGCCGCGGCATCCGCAGTGGACGCATTCCACTATGCGTCCCTCCTCCAGCTTTGACTTGGGGACGCGGCAAATGCAGTTCGTGCCGAAATTCGTATCACGCGTCTGAATGCACCGCAGGCAGCAGAGGTTTTCGTAGCCCGACTTCTTCCACTTGGCTATCAAGTTGGCATCGGCGATCTTCTCCTTTAGGCAGTAATCGTACAGTTCACGACTGATAGCCTTGCGGCGATAGTACAGATCGTAGATATAACGCGTCTTCTGGTGATGTATCTTGAAGATCGGCCAAAGTGATTCCGTAATGCGTTTGCCCTCGTGCGGTTCCGTTTCGGCCTCGCGCATTTTCTGCTCCAGCTCTTCCAGTGTGGGTTCAATAAGTTCCCAGCCATCTGGTGGGGGTTTACGACTACGACGCACTTTTGGCATTGTTTACTTTATGATAATATGCGAAATTTTATGTATGAATTGTGGAATTAAGTCAACGAGAAGACGCTTGTTTCTTGCACGCACATATTAAAGTATGGCAACGCTCTGGTATAAGTGGTATTTATGAAAAAAGGTTGTTCGGTGTGGGGAAATTGTGACGTCATGCACTCGCCCTCAAGTTCAGCTGTTGGTAACAGTATTAAATAATATTATACGGCGGTCGAACAATAATAAATCAAAAAGACATTAAATAAAGTTTCATAAGGTTTCTTTGAAATTAATAACAGTGGTATTAAGAGAAGTTTCACTATTGACCAACCTCTTCCGCTTACTGTTACCTGTGAAGCGCTGTGGATCTGTGCAAAATGTTAAGCGAGTTGGCAGCCCGGTAGCTGCACAATCAGCTGTTCGGCAAACTGTTCGGTTAGGCCATAAAATAATCAACAACAAAATTAAATGACAATAACAATGTGTGTTGTTTGAGGTTTAGCACAAAGTCAACACAAGAAACTTGCGCACAATGGATCCCATAATATTCTTCACAGTGCTGACGATTTTATATGGCGTCATGTACTTTTTCGATCGCTTTTTCAAGGTGTGTTTGGTGGAATCGAACGAATGAATTGTCGCATCGAATTTAATTATTGAAAACTTCCTGCAGAGCTGCATGCACTATCCATACGACGCCTTTCTGCGCAACACAGGACTGAATGTCAACTTCATGAGCCTTCACTGGCACTCCAATGCCAGCACCTTCAATCGGATGCTGATTCGCTGGGGCTCCGCAGCCGGCAAGAGCTACACGAGAAGCTTTCTGGTCAAGTGCTTCAATGTGGGCGTCCTGCTTTCCTTCCTCCTGCTGCCCATTGGCATAATACTGCTCATCATTACCATATTTAATGGCAGTGATGGCGGAGCGCCAGCTGCTGCTGGAGGTGCGGCAGCAACCACATCAACAGTCGCCACGGCGACGGTCCAGCTGGAAATTCTATTGCCCGGAGTCAATCTGCCGCTTCAAGAGATCGGCTATTATATAGCCACATTGGTGCTCTGCACACTACTCCACGAAATGGGCCATGCGTTCGCCGCCGTGCTGGAGGACGTGCCAGTTACGGGCTTCGGCTTCAGGGTGAGATGGGGAGGACTCCAAAAAGTTGTTAAATAACATTTGCATATTCGCAGATCTACTTTTGCCTGCCGCTGGCCTACACGGAGCTCTCGCATGATCACCTGAACAGCTTGCGCTGGTTTCGCAAGCTGCGCATCCTTTGTGCCGGCATTTGGAACAACTTTGTGTTCGCCTGCGTCTGCTATCTGTTCATCTCGACGCTGGGCATAATCATGTCGCCCTTCTACCAATACAACGAGCACGTGATAGTCACAGAGCTGACGGCCAAATCGCCGCTGCGGGGCGATCGCGGGCTGCAGGTGCAGAACGTGATCACTCAGCTGAACGACTGCCCCGTCAGCAACGAGGACAGCTGGCTGGGTTGCCTGCAGCAGGCGCAGCAGCAGCGCCTGGGCTACTGCATTAGCTCCGACTTCATACGGCTTAATGACGAGAGCATCGACATAGCCCATCACAATGCGGAGGGCCGGCTGCAGTGCTGTGACGAGCGCAATCCCAATGTCAGCTGCTTCGAGTACATCGAGGACGCCACTGTGGATGCGCCTGCTGAGATACCGCAGCACGTGTGCCTGCCCATGCGGCGCACGCTGGAGGACTCGAGCGGCTATTGCAGAGCAGGCTCGTGTGCCCAGGGATACTGTCTGCGGCCCATGCTGCAGAACACAACGAGGATTCTGGTGTTTAAGAGGCAGAGTCTGGACCACGAGGCACTGCCACCTGTGATGTATGTGGGCCAGCCACGTGATGTGCTGCGCTCGGTGCGCGTTTCGGCCTTTGTGCCCCGCTATAAGCAGATCAGTTCCGCATGGCCCGATGCCCTTTCGCTGCTGCTGAGGTACAATGTGGTTTTCAGCATTGGACTCGCTTTGATCAATGCCATTCCCTGCTTTGGCTTCGACGGCGCTCACATAACCAGCACCGTGATACACAGCTTCCTGGTGGGGCGAGTCGAGGAGCACCCCAAACGGGATCTCATCTCGCTGATCATCACCAGCGTCGGCTCCCTGCTTTTCGGACTGGCTCTGCTGAAGGTCGCCTGGCTGAGTCTGCTGCGCCCGCTGCTGTGAATCGCTCGGTTCACTCCTCACTCATCCTAGTTAACATCTACCAAACTGCTAGACTGCTTTTCTCTACACAGCCACGGAAACAGACACAGAAACAGACTTTGCTGTAGCGCCTCAAAGGTCTTTCTCTTTAGCTTTATTTATTTATTATCGTGTTTTATGTCGCTGTAATTCGATTGCAGCAGTCAAGTTTGCGAAGCTCAAATAAAAGATGCAAGCATTTTTCTCACTTAACGTTCGTGCCGCTCAGTTGGAGGCTGGTCTGCAGCTCCGTCAGGCTGCGTCTGGCGCTCTGCATCAGCATTTTGATGGCCACCTCGTCGCTCTGGTTGCGATTCGCCTGGAAGTCGTGGCGGGCCCAGGCCCTGAGCTCTTGTCGGCTATGCTGGTCCGGCACCAGCCGAGTGGTGCGCCAAATTTCTCTGTACAGCTTCAGCACCTCTTGGCGCAGCATGAACTGGGTGAATGAGAAATTTGAAAAGGCTAAAATACAGGTGCCATCCGTCACTTACCTGTTTTAAGCTAAGTGCTGCTTTGGGCAGTTTTGACATTTTATCATTTTATGTGTGTTTACTTATTTTATATTTGAAAACTTTTATAATTTATTCCTTCTCAGTTTTCAGTTTTTGATTACGTTTCTGCTATTCGCGTGCACTTGAAACAGCTGATGTGAACAGCTGTTTCCAGCTTTACCCTCAGCTGATTCTCTTTGAGTTTAAGAGCATGCGCTCTCGCAACATTTAAGAGTTTGACTGCACAAAGCAGAAACGAAATGTGTGTTGGCAGAAAATATACAATATGCACATATATACATACATACGTATTCAGATTAATAAAATATGCAAAGTTACACAATGTATAAATTTAATAATGTTATTGTTTTATTCTTTTAACAAATTAACACAAGTTCGCTTTCACTTGTAGTGCTCTAATTTTGAATTGAGGTAATTTAAGTTAATTTTACTATTATTAGGCACTCTAAAATAATATGGATTAAAAAAATATATGCATATAAAATTGAAAAAAAATAGTTAAAAAGTTTCGCTCACAGTTGACCCCGACGTGATTTGAACACGCAACCTTCTGATCTGGAGTCAGACGCGCTACCGTTGCGCCACGGAGTCGTATGAATCGATCTTGACTAAATGCCAACATAAACTGTTCTCATTAAACAGCGCATGCTTGTTCTATGCGAAAATGATTAAGTGAACCAAAATAGAATTCGAAAAACAAAACAAAAAGGAAAAGAAACAGCAACAAAATTTTGTATTTATAATTTCATTGACATAGACTGAAAAAAAAAAACAATCAAATACTTAAATGCATTTTTCAACGGCTGTCACAAAATGCGTTAGTCAGCATTTATGCATAGAACACATAAAATGAGGATTCAATTTGGCACATGGATCGAAAGTGTAGATGTCATATTTAAAGATACGTACATACATGCAAGTAAATATGTATGCATGCATTTAATCAAATAAATTGTTAAAATGCTTAATTTATCTTCTGTTGCATTGTTTGTTCATTGCGCGCCCATTATGATTGACACGGCAGCTGCTTTGAATTATTTTTATGCTCATGATCTCTGCTGTTGCTGCTGCTGTTGATTATAGTGATGTACCATTCGAACAAGTCATTTAGTTATTTCTTTTGTTTTTCATAGAGCGGATGGTGATGCATGCAGCATGCCCAAGAACAGACGACAGACAGCCAAGTTAGCCACAGCCAAGTGGACTGTCTTGGCCAATTTATGTTCTGTTCTTGCGCCAGTTCCAGGTACCATAACTTAAAGGGCGCCGACGACTGGCACCACTTTACCACTTTATATATCTACATATATGTATGTATGTACGTATGTATGTGTGGACGGCATGTAGTTGTTACGAGCTGCCTACTTAATGCATTATTGTTGACAATCGCCGCAGGGCACGATTGGCAGCTGTTTTCATGCTTTACATTGCCATCAACCTGTCCCGTTACCAATATTGGCAGCTAGATCTTAACTGTTGAGCCATCTCTGTGAGGCTCGGAGTGTTCTACAATTTTGATAATGAATCATCTAAATAAATGTGAACTTTGTACAAGTCTGAAGAGGCTTTTTATCTTCTAATTTCTATAATCTATGACAGCTTAATCTGTTTAGCTCATCGAGATTTTTCGAATTACTTGAATTTCTTCAAATTAATTTAGAATTTGAAATTAGTTGTTTCAAGTGCGTTTATGTCAGTGCAGCTAGAAGAAATTTGCAAATAAATTATATCAAATTAGACATAACACAATAATAAATTTTCTAAAACGAACAAAATCAAAATATACATAAACATTTAAACATTTTTACGTATATATATAAAAAGATATATCCGAATCGAGCAGGTAAGCAGCCACACGATGCAATTTATTTTTAACTCGCTCTAAGTTGCATCCACTACAGCTCTGAGAGATGGCAAAAGACAGAGAGACGAATAGCAGCGAGAGATACGGAGGCATCGAAAGAGAAAGAAAGAGAAAGAGTGAAATAAACTGAGACTATTTCGTTTTCGTTTTCGTTTTCACGAGACGGAAAATTCTTCCTAGCATTACTTTGACTCATCAGAGTCAGCAGCTATGTGGAATGGAGGAGTGCGGGCCGAGAGGAGGGGAGAGGGCCCTTGGGCGTTTGGGGACGCTCTACATTCAATACGTCATCAACAACAGCCACTCGAACTGGGGAGTCGTCGTCGCCTGTGGGGGACCCACAGCTGCGCGCAATCGCATCAGAGGCCACAACACGAAGCAGAGCGCAAGCAGCAGCTGCACAGTGAAAGCAATTGGGGAAAAACTCTATGAAACTATATGAACAATGCACGAAAAGTAAAATAGGCTTTCAATAATCAATTATGAATGTATGAATATACCAAATGACTCTACAGCTGCTCAATTACAAATTTTCTGCAACTTCAATTAAAGTACTCTAAAATTATTTGTAAAATTTATACTTTAAATTTATTTATCACTTGATAAAATTATTTAATATTCGATTTCCATATGTAAATTGTATTTCAATCATTCTTCGATATATACTTATTTAAACGGCTACATATTTTTATGCCGAATAAAAATAATAAAGTAAATTTAAACAAACATTTGAAGTTCGGTGATTTCATAGATTATGGAATATAACTTATGTTATATAAAATGCTTTTACGTAATTATATCATAATGTTAATATTATAATTTTGTCATGTATGTATGTAATGAAACATATATTTATAAGATATTTATACGAATATAGATAATAAATTATTATTATTAAAATCATTAATTAGTACTAGTAATACTATTAATTATTATAAATTTATTTATGACTATTTATATTGCACTTAATTAATTATATTACAAGCTTAATATAATTTTCAATTTATTCTGCATAGCATAAAATCCCATTGCAATATTTTCACAGCCTAATTGTGGTTGCTGCACCACTGTGCGGCGCAGCCAACAGCTGCTAAGTAAAATCCACATGGCAGTGGCCGCCAGCGTCAAACGTTGATGAAACGCGGCCGCATGCGGACGTCGCTCGGAGCGAATGATTGAAAAAGAAGGCGAAAAGGCGAATCGAGCGAGAGAAAGAATCGTGAAGAATCTGAAAAACGTTTCTGAAACAAGCCATCAACGCAGTCGGAAGAGTCTTCGGAAAATCGTATTCGTGCCGCGGTGTGCATGTGAAAAGTGAAAATGAAAATGAGCATTGGGCATGGTTTTCCTTGACGTTCGGTTGCGGTGTTTGTTGTAAAGCGGAAAATCAAATCAAAAAAGAGAAATATAAATAAATTAAAAATACGAAAAGGAAAAAGAAAGGCAATTGTGAGTGAGAAACAGCCGTATACAAAATATATACATAATGTCGAAAATATAAAGCTATTTTTGGAATATATATTGGACAGGCGCGCTGCATTGGAAAATATATATGCATATATGTATATTTTCTAAAGTGAATAACCAAAATATATACTTAAGCGAAATCAATTTGAGTACGTTTTGATGCATCAAAATTATCCTTGAAATTGAATTACTTTTCGAAAAATAAGAAACAAAAAATCTGTTTTATCTGCGAAAGCTAACAAAGCGAATAAATGAACTGTTTCAGTGAGAGAGAAGAGATAAAGATCAACAAAGAAAAGCACATTAAAGCGTATCTGCATATACGTACCTATGTATATAGAAGACAGCAGCCCCTATGAGAATTAATAAACAAAGGTGTAAAAAGCAAATAAAAAACGCATTTAGTGAGAACATTTCGAAATTAATCCAAAATGATATATTATGCTGAGGCAGATGTGTATATTTCTGTATATGAAAGATATATATATGAAATATGAATATAGCCCGACATATAGATCAGATATTAATTATAGTCTGCTGAAAGTTTATCGTTTACAAGCTATATAGGGCACACAAAAAAGAGCCGCTATAACTACAGATAATGCCACATTCCCATATATTCCCATATATTTGGGAACTGTTCTTGATCTCCATTCAAAGTTCTTGAGGAAGTTCGCGCTCAAATTGTATTTACCTCTTATTGTTAATATATGTATGTATGTGTGGTAAAATCCACTTGGCTCTTGTTGGGCATTTGTTATTGTAAATTATATTTTTGAATAAGATACCAGTGTGTGTGTGTGTGTGTGTGTGTGTTAGTCTGTGTGTGTGTGCACGCTGTGTTATGCGATAGGTGGTAACGTTTCGTATGAGGTATTAAATTACAAGACACCAAAGTGCGCGCGAACCAAACACGCTCACACATACACACGCACACGCACACATACACGCTCGCAAATACAGCTACGCGTGTATGTGTGCACAGCTACAGATACATGTTCGGGTATATAAATACTCTGCCGCCGTCTGCTTGCGTGCGTATCAAATGGATGCGAAACAATATGCAAAGCATAGACACAAACAAACTCACACACACACACACACACACACACCTAGTGAGACTCGTATCGAAGGCGCTCAGTGAAAATTAAGAAGACGCTGTAATTAATTATGGACCCAAAACGAAACAAACAAGAAGAAAAAGAAGCAGCAGAAGCAGAAAAAGAAAACGGATTATGGGGCGGTATAGAAGTGGGCGTGTTTGGCTCATAATGTGTGCCATGATTGATCGTTAGCTTTACAAACGAGAAGAAAATAAATATCTGTGTGATCTCAAGCAGGGGCAACAACGAAAAATGGAATTGAAATTCGAAGAAATTTTAAACTTTTAGAGAACTAAATAACTTTGAAATTGATTGATCAATATTCAAGGTAATTCAAGGCATTTAAAAACACTTTGGTTGATGCAGTAGCATTTTTAATAACAAGTTATATAATCAGTTTGAATGGAAAACCTAAATTTGTAGTCAGAAAATAAATGATTCTGAATACTTTATTATCAATTGGAATCTTTCTCTATTTAAAACAAGCGATAAGAGCTCAGCAGACTATTTTCAAAAACAAGTTCGAAAATCAAACAACAAATTAGATTTTAATGATATATATTCAAGAAAACTCCAGTGTAATTCAAAAATCTTCAAGAAATAATTTCAATTAATTGTGCTTTTTGCCTCGTAATTTTTCGCGTTTCTGTTGCCTGTTGCCCGTTTGAAATCGGCTAAAACAAAGTGGAATTGAATTGAGTCCCGCTGCAATGTCGGCCAAAACTTCACCATCGAATTCGCGTGACGGCAATGTGGCAGCTGCAACCAGCGTCGTGCCCCCAACTGGGGCAGGCGGCGTTGTTCAAATCAAGAAAGAGCTGCCCAGCGATGAGATAAAGGTGAGTCTCATGAATGAAATCAACAAGCCCACGCACACACACACACACACATAAACACTTGAAGATACGCAGATTCACACATAAACATACATAAATATATATTTACATACATATATATATATATACTTATTCGAGTAAATTTCGCGTAATTGTCACCTGAATTTTTGGCACAAAACAAACACATTTATAATTAATTACTTCTGTCTGCACGTTGTTTTTAAATAGTATTCAATAACAAGGATGCAAAAACAACAACAAAAATCTAAAAAGTCGCAAAAATAATTGAGAATTTCGTGAAAATGTTCACAGCTTTTCATAGAGCAAACTGCGAAGTGTACATTCTTGTATATATTCTTCTCATATATAGGATGTTTTTTATTCAAATGTTCATTTCATTTTGAGTATTTTTAACTGCAATTGAAATATTTCGGTTGTTTAGGTCTATTTTTGAAATGTTTATCGATGCCATTCCAACGGGGTGAATAACACGCAGTCTTTGCGAATCTTTTTTTAATAATGCATTACAAGTGTCGTTTATTAGTCAACTGCTCTAGTTCCAGTTCCAGTTCCAGTTCCAGTTCCAATTCCAGACCTCTTTCAGGCCCAATATTACTGTCTGTCCGTTAGACTCTTCGCCCGTCCGTCCGTTTGTATACTTGTTTCTCCATCCCATATTTAAACTATCTAGACTAAAGTCCATCTTATACAGCTTTTCAATACGATCAATAGGGGCTAATTAGGAAATATGGTAAGGTCTATAGTTGGGCATTTTAAAGCTACAGGCGTGTTAAAGTTGAAGAAAAAAAAACTCTTCCAGAAAAAGTTTCAAAAATCTTCAATGCATACCAGTACTTATTTAACTATTTTTATTTTTTCCAATGATTTAAAAACTACATAATAGTTATCCTTTTAAAAATCTCCATTGAAGACTTATTTTCGAATAAGTCGTACATGTCTAGGCCATCGACAGCTTGGAACAATTGGGTATTGAGGACTCTTCAGCCCGGTCACATAAAGGTCATCAATGATGAATCGCTTTTCCTTTGCATGTCATTCAAACGGTTATTCGAAAAGCGTATTTCGCTTGCGCATTACTCATAAATCTATTTATATGGCTAGAGAAATATATTTTCCACCTTGAAAATTGCACGATGCAATTCCTGAATACGATGCCAAACAAATAAGAGTTCATCATTAGTTTCCAATTACGAGAGAAGTCATAAGAACAGTTTCAGCCGGATCCGACCGAGCAATTTTTCACAAAAATAATGCGCCTGAAAACACAATAATCCGAATCCTTAACATCAACAAGATGAAGCGGATTCAGCTCAGTTCAGTTTCAATTTCAATTTTGCATGCGGCGAGCATTTCAAAATTTCAAATATGCAACTGCAATGAAATGTTCTCTCTAACGAAGATGAAGACCCCCACCCCCCCTTCCCCGCACTGCACGCCACTGCATTCAGTTGGAGCTTGCGACTCGGCTTACATTGCGATAACAAAAATTGCAGAATAACTGTTCTGTTGCGTTTAGAGCCTCGGCTCTGCAATTAGCGTTACACCGCAGCGCAGTTGTAAACAGAGTTGGCATCCCCTGCTCAGCTAGCGTTGACGTCGCAGTCGCCGTCGCCGTAGACGTAGACGTCTTGCTATTACGATTACCCCAACATTGTGCGAGTTAACTGTAAACCGAGGCAGCGCTGGTAATTTTATATTGATAAATTTTTATAATCATTTTAACGAGTGAGTGAACGAGTGCCACACTCAGTCAGTCTGTTCGTGTGTGTGTGTATGTGTGTGAGTGGGCTGCAAATAGACGCAGACTGCCTGCCTCGACTCGCATTGAGTCTCAGTGTCACTTCTTACCTCTTTGGCCTGTGCTAGCTCGCTGCGCTGCTTAAGCGCCCTGCCCTACTCCGGCCCCTCGCTCTATCTCGCTCTCCTTCTCCTTCTTCTCGTTCTATCAACATTCTCTAGCACTCTCAATGTGTGTGTGTGTGTAAGTTTTCGCCAAATGAGCAAAATTAATTTAATGCCAGAGACCCGCGCGAATGACAAACAGCAGCAACACCAACAACAACAACAAGAACAACAATAACAGCAGCAGCAGCAGCAACGTTGACGGCGGTCGCAGCAA